ACTTTCCCACACCTGCTGTTACTCTCCCGCATCTGCTGTAGCTCTCCCACACTTGCTGACACTCTCCCACACCTGCTGCAACTCACCCACATTACTGGAACACTATCACACTTGCTACAACTTTCCTACACCTGCTGCAACTCCCCCAAACCTGCTGTAACTCTACCACACTACTGTAACTCTATCACACCACCTGTAACTCTCCCACACCTGCTGCGACTCTCACGCACCTGTTGCAACTCTAACACACCTGTTGCAACTCTCTGAAACCTGCTGCAACTCTCCCATACTACTGTAACTCTACCACACCTACTCCAACTCTTCCATACTTTCTGTAACGCTTTCAAACGTCCTGCATTTCACTCACACCTGCTGCAACTCTCCCACACATGTTGCAGCTCTCCCACACCTGCTGAAACTCTCCATCACTTGCTGTAACTCATGAAACTTGCTGCAACTCTCCCACACCTGCTGAAACTCTCCCACACCTTCTGAAACTCTCCCACACCTGCTGCAACTCTCCCACACCTGCTGCAACTCTCCCACACCTTCTGAAACTCTCCACACCTGCTGCAACTCTTCCACACCTGCTGCAACTCTCCCACTCCTCCTGTAACTTTCCCATACCAGCTGAAACTCTCCCATGCACTATAGCTCTATCACATCTGCTGCAATTCTCCCACCCTGCTATAACTCAATCACACCTGCTGCAACCCCCACCTGCTGCCCATCCCACCTGCTGCTGCTCCCCCATAACCTGCTGTAGCTCTCTAACACTTGCTGCAACTCTCCATCACTTCCTGTAACTCATCACACATGCTGCTCCCCACACATGCTGCAACTCCCATACCTGCTGCACCTCTCCCACACCTGCTGCAACTCTGCTCTCCCACCTGCTGAAACACCTCCCACAACTTCTGAAACTCTTCCACACCTGCTGCAACTCTTCCACACCTGCTGCATCTCTCCCACACTTGCTGCAACTCTCCCACACCTGCTGCAATTCTATCACATCTGCTGCAACTCTCCCACACCTGCTGTAACTCATCATACCTGCTGCAACTCTCCCATACCTGCTGCAACTCTCCCACACTTGCAGTAAATTGTCACACCTGTTGTAACTCATCACACCTGTTGCAACTCTCCCACACCTAGTAGATCTCCCCCACAGTTTTTTTTTTTTTCGGGAATTAGCCCACTCGGACACAGGTCAAACGAAATTAGGAACAGATTGTATAAGTATGGAAACACAGAAGAAGGCAGAGCATTGCACAGTTTGGCTGTGTCAGGAAAGAAAGAGGTACTATAACGGGTTATTCTCGTGTGACCGACATCCACAGAGAAACGGAGGGCACCGCGGGCAAGACGCGTGTTACGAGCCCACGGCCATGACGGCGGTACACAGGATGCCAAATCCACCGAATATTGCCCGTTAAAGTACCTGTAAAAGAGAGAGAGTGAAGCAACATTGCGGCGAATTGTAACTCCCACACCTGTTGCAATTATCCCATCACACTAATGCCACTCTCCCATACCTGCTGCAACTCCCCTACACCTGCTTCAATTTCCCAACACACTTTTAGCTCCACCATACTTTTAGCACCGCCACACCTGCACACCGACATATCTACAACATTGCCACTCTTACAGCACTGCTGCCATACCAGCAACACCACCACACCTGCAGAACCGCCACACCTACAGCACCTCTCATACATACCGCAGTGTGCTCTTCTAATATTACAACACGGTATAATGAATTCAAAATGCAAATCCGTAAAATAATATATACTCTCGCTTACCAATTATTTCGAGTAAACGGAATTTTGATTTATTTATCCAATTAAACCGGATAAACAAAATTCTGGTCTATATATCTAATCAATCCGGATAAACTAAATTCTGGTTGACTTTATATCCAATTATTGCAGATAAACGGAATTCTGTTTTATATTTCCATCAAACAAGAATGAAATAATAAGGGCGCTATAACTCATAAGGTCTTTAATAGTTCATATTGATGTAACTACTAAGGCCATTAGTCTCATTGCTCTGTAACTTCCATGGGCATTAAGTCCCATAGCTCTGTATCTACTTAGGTCATTAAGTCTCATAGCTCTGTAACTACTAAGGTCATTAAGTCTCATAGCTCTGTAACTACTAAGGTCATTAAGTCTCATAGCTCTGTAACTTATAAGGTCATTACGTCTCATAGCTCTGCAACTACTAAGGGTCATTAAGTCTCATAGCTCTGTAACTACTAAGGTCATTAAGACTCATAGCTCTGTAACTACTAAGGCTCATTAAGTCTCATAGCTCTGTAACTACTAAGTAGAGTATTTCAAGTACGGTCAGTCTTGCCGTGACATCAACACAGTAGAACACTTGGTTTTATCTGAAGAATTATTTTTTGTTTTTGTTTTTATCCTCTTCGATATTGATCGGCTCATTTGCCGCTTGGGCGGTCGGTCATGTCTCTCTTACTCACTGTTGGCAAATACTAGGCATGCACTGGCTCCTGAATGTATCTGAACCTGCTCCAGTGTTGGGCAAGTCTGGTCTTGAAAGAGCTCACACTCGGTGCCGCCACAACACTCTCTGGCAGGTTGTTCCAAGAAATCACAATTCTCATTCTGAAAAGTTTGCCCTCACAGTTGTTTGGACTTGAAGCTTTTTCAACCTTGAGGTATGAGCCAGCTCCACGTATGGATACTCGACTGAGTAGTGCCTTTGAGATGTTTATACACCTCAATTAGGTCATCCCTTGTCCCTTTGTAGTATAAGCTAGACAGTTGCAGGCGATCTAATCTCTCTTGATAACTGAGGTGTCGAAGTGCAGGCACCAATCTGGTGGCCCTCCTTTGGACATTTTCAATCAACTGACAGTCCCTAGCATATCTCGGGGACCAGACGGGATGACAGTACTCCAGGCGGGGACGCACCTCACTCTTGAAGATCGTTACGAGGGACAGACCATCTAGATATCTGAGCTACCTTCTTATTAGACCTACTAGTTTAGTTGCTTGATTCACCTTTTTCTCACAATGACCCAAGAACTTCAGTTCATTGTCAACATACACCCAGGTCCTTTTTGCATTCGGTCTCTATTAATGCAGTTTATTCGTTTCGTTGGGACATGTGATGCACCTCCTTACCGTTGGTACGACCCAGTTGCATTCTCTTACACTTCGTGACATTGTATCTTTGCAGCCATTTCTTCGACAATCTTGAAGTTCACAGATTTTTCTGTAGCTCTCCACAGTCTGTTAGGTTCTTATTTTCCCTGAATAACTTGGCATCGTCCGCAAACATTTGTATGTAGGAGTGTAAAGTTTCCGACATGTCAATTATGAAACAAACAAACAACAACGGGCCAAGTACACTGCCCTGTGGTACCCCGCTTGTCATGGGTACACAGGGCAATTTCATACCATTAATCACCACACACTGCTTGCGATCATGCAAAAAGTCTCCGATCCACGATAAGGCATTTCCCCGAATCCCGTACTCTTCAAGTTTAATTCTCAGCCTTTCATGGGATACGCTGTCGAAAGCCTTGACAAAATCTAGGTATATATTGCCTTGTTCCAGAATTTGGGTCCAAACACCCAAGACCATGAGTAATTGTGTTAAGCAGGAGCATCCCGGCATAAAACCATGTTGGTAGTCCTTTACAAGGTTGTTTCTTAGTAGATGTTCCATCATGGCATCTTTTATAATGCTCGCTAGTACTTTACATACCATGCTGGTCAGTTTCACTGGTCTATAATTATTCGTGGAATGATGATCGCCCCTCTTGAATATAGGACTCACATAAGCCATTTTCCAATCACTGGGGACCTTTTGCTAGTCCAGGCATTTACAAAACAAGATCTACAGAGGCTCACAAGCTCGTTGCACAACTCTCTTAACACTCTGGGATGCACCATGTCAGAGCCGCGACTCTTATGAACCTTTAGCTTTGATAATTTATATATTATACGCTCATCTGAGAACACAATGTAGGTCAGCACTGTGTCAAATCGTCTGTCCTCCAACGTAGGGTGATTGTTTGCATCCTCTCTTGTGAACACAGGGGAAAAGAATTTGCTCAACTCCTCCTCCTTGTCCCGGTCAGAATCTGCCTAACTACTATCTTCAAGCCTCAGATACGATACGCCTTCTCTCGTTTTTAATTTCGACTTTGCGTTGTGGTAAAACGCCTTTGGGTTTGACTTGACTTCGCTTGCAATCCGCCTCTGGAACTCATTTTCGGTCCTTCTACACTCTGACTTTGCTTGGTTCCTGGATCTGGCTTACATCCTCCTATCATGCTCATCATTTGTCTTAACCCACGTTTCAAATTTCTGAGGTTTTTCTTAACTTTGTCGACTGCCACATACTTCATGTGTAAAGGTCTCCCCGTATTCCTGAATTCACTGGGTTCGGTCTTGGGTGTATACAGGTATTTATTGATCAAATTGTTCACTTTTCTGGCTATGATATTCAGCGTAGTGTCTGCGTTCTTATATCTTAGTGAGTCAGACCAGTGAATACCCCTCATCTTCTCCCTCATACCGTCGTAATTTCCCTTGTGATATTTGAACCTTGGCCTGCTTTTGTTATAAACCAAATAACAGTTAAACCTGAACGACAACATTTTGTGGGACTGGTGCCAACGGAGGCTAGGTGTTCCAGCTAGGCTACCATACCATCCTCGTTAGTTATGATGAGGTCCAGCAGTTTGGGTGGTTGCTCCTGTCTGTACTGAGTCGGATCTTTAACATGTTGGAATAGAAAATTGTCTCTCAGAATTTCCTCAAAAAGGGTAGCGGTATTATTAAGGTCATTTGGCGTGGTTTTATTTCTCCAGTCAATGTCGCCATAGTTCAAATCCCCATGTCAAGGAGGTGGATAGGATTGAGCGCCGTTGCATCGTCAGTTAAGGCTCTTAAGTTCCTTTGGTCTTACAAGCTACAGTTTGGGGATACGTAGATACATCCAAAAATGAGCAAGTCTCTTCACTTTAGTTTAATTTTACACCACTTTGATTCTTCAAAATCATCCTCTTTCAACATTCTCACCACACCCCTCTTGCAAATTGCTTGAGAAAGGTTCCTAAAGAAGTCATATCCGTCAATATTGAACTCACATTCTTCCGGGTCGATTTTCCTGTTATTGTACAACAGTTCTAGAACACCTACTATTTCGGGTTGATGTACTTTGAGTAGGGTTTCAACCTCCGCACTCTTACCAAGAATCGTGTCAGTATTAGTGTACATGACTTTCAAGCCGGAATTTGTCCTCGGTTACGTCTCTGGTCTTAGTAGTGACTCCGGCCTCCCCCCCCCCTTCTCAGTGGCTGCCACGTTTACTAAATTCATTGTATTTTGTGGGGTGTGATATTGCTTACATGACGCTCACTTCCTCCTGGGTGGGAAATAAAGCGGGTGGGGGTGTCCTGCTGTTCCATGGTTCTCTGCTGGTATACTTTGCCATTGCTATTTTCCCCTTGTGTATAACCCATGCACGTCCGTCCCTGTTCCTCATCGAATTCCCCCTCTTCTGCTTCAAGCACCACAAGAGTTATTTGTGCTGCTCCCTCTGCATTACCGTGCAATCAGAAATTATGTATATGCCCCAAAATTCTTTGTTCCTTTCTAAGATTTTTTCCTGCCGAATAACTTCCCAATTCTTACCCTAACTCACTAGTGTGATCCTGAGAGGGCGGGTTTATTCTCCTACCTTCGGTCTTAGCCTTCTCACATCATGAGGGGGGGGCTTACAGGTTCAGAGTCTCTGCACCAATAGTCTGAAACTTCATCTTCGACCGACTGACTCTCAGGGACTCCAAACACTATTATATTGTTCCTGCGCTTAGAACATTCGCGTTGTTCCTCCTCTCCCATATCAGTAGGCATACTAGTTGCCATTTCACCAACAGAATCCCGAGCTGCTGCAGGACCTGTTCGGATCCAATATTACTCTTCGTCACCTTCTGTGACCCTGTTCCAACCTGAGCATATCTCTTTTTAACTACTCCTTCAATTTTATCAGGTTTTCCTCAGTCTTAGTGAGGATATCTTTCCCAACTTGCTCTAGTTTGACAATCCAACAAGGATCCAGCTTCATCTAATTACGTCTCTAAATTTCTCATTCTCTATGCAATGATCTGCAATAGCCTCACTTGCTTTAATTATGCAGTTAGGGCAATACCAGCAACAACCTTCATACTTTATCCTATTATGGAACGTCCTAAACGTTGATGCGGTCAGGCCCACAATCTGCCCAAGATGTCGTCTCCTTGCAGTAATTGCACATGAACAAACTATCTGGTGACACTGGAGCATCAACCCCTGATTCCCTACGCCTATGCATGTCTTGTCACAAATTGTCTTCTTCCTTTTACATACTTACACCTGTGGGACACGCAGTGCTTGACAGCTGTCGCCATTGGCCATCCTGAAAACGGGATTAGCTAGCGGCGGAGAGAGGATTTCCAGACTGTAAGAATCTTCTTAGCCTTAAGCTCAGTTTACGATGTGATTTAATTCTAACTATCGGCTTAATAATAATGATAATTATTTTTATTATTATTATTATTATTACTATGATAATTGCTTTTGTGCTATGGTGTCAAGGACCTATTATAGCCCACGATTCAACTGCATTCCCACAATAGGTCTCCGTGTCTGGTGTGTAGGGAGGGGGTGAGGGCTGATGCTAACCTTCGTAATCTTTCACTGTATTCTGAGGAAGTAATTTACCCCCTGCTGGGATGACTTCTAAAATTACACCTCCTAGTTGTTATCTAAGTGAATTAAGATATGTTTGCGCTCTTGCCCCTGTGACAGGATGATATTATTTAAAAGTCACTTAGTTGTCCTGTTGGTCCTGACCTCGCTGGCACCTCGTTCATCCAGTGTTGTTGTCCAAGAAAACTCGTTTTTTTTTCTTCCTATTATTGACTCTTGTTTTCTTCCCAGTTCTCCTCGACGAGTTGTTGGTATCTCCATGTGCTATCACTTAGTACACTGTATCTTTCTATGTATGGTGGATCATGCGCATAATCACAGTCCCTTAGAAAACACAGAAAAAAACTTTGTTTGTGGCACCAATAATGTGCCTCGGTTACTACCAGGTACTCATACATGTTGCTTGCCTCATTTTTTTTTTTACTTGAATTTATTTTCAGGTTTCACCGCGATCACTTGTATCATTATGGACTGTCTTAGCTAAAGGTACAGTACTACAATCTCTGATCATTCTTTTGAAGGTCGGTCGCAGCCACGGACACGCCTCATTAAAATTTTCTAGACAGATCTTAGATATGACAACGGTTTTATGGTTGAATCATCACCGCCTATAGCTCCAGTCGAGTAGGGAGAATATTTCAATATTCAATCGCGAATAACATTAAAAATCCTACATCGATTAACACGTTCACACCACTACGACGATCTTCGTGCTCATTTGCATTCACTGTCCAATTGCCGCCTCTCAACAAAGAAGGCCCAAATGCCAATACGCTTTGTTCCAGAGACGCAACACGACACTAACCGCACATCACTATGGGCGAGTCAGACGCAACTAATACATGATGTGATATAGAGTATAGTATTAATAGATCTTTATGTCATTTTATGGTGCACACGTAGCTCTGTCACATCATGGAGCACTTGTGAATATGTAACATATCATCGCGCACATGTGGCTCTATCTGTCATATCATGTCATATCATGTGGTGCATGTGACTATTTTTCATATCATTGAATACATGTTACTATCATAACAAGGGGCATATGCTGATGTAAAAGCCGTGATATGAACTTGCATTTAGATTCATACTGGAATATATAGTGAAAAGTAGAACAGGAAAATCTACATCCATCACTTACAGTACAAAACAGCGCAGTAATTAAATGCCGCGACTTGCTGCATCTAACAGGGTATTTCATTTGTGTTCATTTGAATCCTTCTTATTGAAAAAGTGCAAGTGATGCACACTCTGTCGAGTTATTGGGTAATAAGGAGAGCAATTACAGCCATTAGTACGAGATTACAGTCCAAAGGTGCACCTCTAATATTCTTTTGTGCTTTATAATGAATGAGTGAAAAGTGGGTCCCATAGTCCTGACGGCAAGTTAGGGGCAGAGGGGATACAGCACACTGAATACTTAGCCTTCAGTTCACAAGGAAGCACTGTGGCCTTCACCTCCCCAGTTACAAAAGTTAGAACCCACTCAAAGGTTGGTGGACTTGGGATACCCCGGACTCGAAGCAGCGAATCTTACGACACCAGGCTAGTATTGAACTGTATCCACTAGGCTGTCGCAAGTATCAATGTGTCCCTAAATCTTATGATTTTTTGAAAACAATCATTTAGTTATGCCGTGGTACAGAACATAAGCGTAGTAGGAAGAATATCTGAATAATACTGAGACGTATAAGAGTTACAATTGGTTGAGAACACAAGACCATCGACATGTGTCAGTTTAAAGCATGTAATAGCACCAGTAGGAGATATTAAAGAGGCCGAAGAGAAGAGGAAAAATCCCACGGCAGTATTCGTCGATCTGGCGAGCCCTGATCTTGTTGCTCTGGCTGAAGGATCGAGCGAAGTTGGCCGACACGAGCGCCTTGTCGTCCTGGCCAGGAGACATACCACCCAGCTTCTGTACGGAAGATACAGTGGTGAGGGACAGAGTCAGCCAAACAATAATTCCTATGTTTGGTGCTGTTGAGAGACATAAAAGGGGAACACACAAAGTGTTAAAGGGAACACATAAAGCGTTTAAGGAACACATAAAGTGTTATAAACTGGGGAACTAATCGGCTAATCCTTTGTGTACATAACCAAAACAAAATTATGTATATATATATATATATATATATATATATATATATATATATATATATATATATATATATATATATATATATATATATATATATATATATATATATATATATATATATATGCTGATCACCACAAGGAACGAAGAAAAAACGAAGTTCCCAAGCGCTTTCGTGTAATTAACATCTTCAGGGGTAAGTGCAGACTAAGGAGAAGTACAAAACAAGGTGTATATGTACAGAGGAGGGTGAGATCAGGTCCACAATGGTCAGGTATTAGGTAATGACCCTACTAATCTTTAAAAAGCACCGTAACGGTCGGTAGTCAGGTCAGAGGGTAAGGTGACCCAACCTTCTCACCTGGTTACAAATCTTCTTAATTACAAAATTGTCCAGTTTGTACATGCCATTACTCAAATTCATGTTGACTGCTTCGGTATGTTTAATGAGAATAGATTCTATAATGTTCCTACTGTCAATTGAATTACAAGGTAATATTGAGGAGGCATTATCCCAGTCAATGCAATGCTTGTTATCCCTCAAATGAACAAACAGAGCATTAGTAGGGTCATTACCTAATACATGACCATTGTGGACCTGATCTCACCCTCCTCTGTATATATACACCTTGTTTTGTACTTCTCCTTAGTCTGTACTCACCCCCGAAGATGTGAATTACACGAAAGCGCTTGGGAACTTCGTGTTTTCTTCTTTCCTTGTGGTTATCAGCATACAGTATACCTAGATCACGCGCACCTACAGTGATTTACTTGCATATATATATATATATATATATATATATATATATATATATATATATATATATATATATATATATATATATATATATATATATATATATATATATATATTGGGGAGGAATTCTGGGGCATTATAATTAAGTACGGTAATAGGGAACGACATCCAGGCAGGAGGGTGTGTAAGACAAGACAGTGTTTTACAAGTTTTACAAACTAACACGAGTTTCAGCAGCCCCCTCACACACACACACACACACACTGACGTGGTGTCTCCCTGTCGGCCACCCACCACACTTGATGTACAGTTGTGGGAATTATTAATAATAAGTACACATACATGCTTACATTATTACTACTGTAGAGTATGTGTTATGCCATGATACTCTCTTTCCCCAACAAGGCCGCAAATATCCATCAGGTTTATTCCTGCTGCTTCACACTAACTCAAAAATCATTGGATATCTGCTGTCCACTCGGCTACATACAGTTCACTACTGTTATCGATACGTTCTTAATCCTCACTACAAGTGTATCCTTCTACTAATCCTAACCAGTATATACAAATAGACTCTTAACAGTACTAAGAAACCTATAGTGCGATATTTATTTCTCATCTGAGTAAATACGTATCTCTTTTCTTCCCTCTGCTTGATGGACACTCCAGATATATGGCAATACTTTGGTTAAAATAATTAATACGTGTTTACTCAACAGACACAAGGTCAGAAAACATTGGCTGCAACAAAGTAAAGTAGTAACAAGCGTAGAGGAGATTGAGTCACACAAAAACAATGACAGGACGTACGAAGTCGGAGCTCCCAGGTAGCGGAGAGCAAGGTGAGACGTCCCCACCACTATCGGGAACACCCTTGGCGTCCACGGGACTGGGCGTGGGTGTGGACTTGTGGGTGTAGCTCGGTGTGTGGGAGAACTTGTCACCCAGGCAGATGCCGTTGGAGCCACCTCGAGGTCGCAGTTCCACCTGTGGCCGCCGCCGCCAAAGGTAGTTGACCAGAGTAAACTCCAATAACGCGCAGAACACAAAGGCTGAGAGGTAAACACGTATACTATATCTTATATCACTGCATACATATAATAAAACGTTATAATTATCTCATCATACACCATACATATCTTGTGAACAGCGTTACAGTACACACCTGAACCTGGCCAATATACACACCAGAACCTGGATAATGTACACACCAAAGTGGTGGTGCACACTCCTAAGCCTAGGTAGTGCACACACCAGGCCTAGGTAGTGTACACACCTGAGCCTGGGTAGTGTATACATCTGAGCCTCTCTACAAGAACAGATAATTAGTGTAGGGTACCTGTGCAGGCGCCCATCCACACGTCGATGGCCTTGACGTAGGAGACCTGAGGCAGCCCGGCCTGGATCCCTGCAGGAAAAGACAAAAAAGGAGGACGCTATAACATTAAAGGACTACATAGTTGACTTTTAAAAATTTGCATAGTGGTGATTGTTAAAGACTCTTCTTTATGACTATAACATTTAGATTATATCCAAATACAAAATGAAAAGAACAAATACAGACAACTGGTTCGACCTATTTATTGATACACTATTATTGTTGGCTCTGAAAGTCAGCGGGGACAGTAAGAAGAGTGGGGACTCACCTGAGGACTTGGAGAGGACAGTGAGGAGAGTGGCGCAACGGATTCAAGTTGGATAAGTTTAGGTTTAGGAGGGAGATAGGAAGAAACTGGTTCACAAATAGGGTGGTGGACGAGTGGAACAAGCTTAGCAGCTTTGTAGTGAGTGGGGGAACTCTGGAAAGTTTCAAAAGGAGGCTAGATAGATTCAAGGATGATAGAGAGTGGTAGTAACTCTCGACAGGAGCTGCCATGCACAGGCCAACCGGCCTATTGCAGACTCCTTATTTTCTTATGTTCTTATGTTCTTATGACTCACCTGAGGACTTGGAGGAGACAGTGAGGAGAGTGGTGACGCCTAAGGTAGTTCGGCCTGGGACGGAGTCAACATCCATCCAGAAGGAGACCCACGAGATGACCACGATGAGGATCGTGGGCAGGTAACTCTGTACCAGGTGGAAGCCGATGGCGCGACGCATGTGAAACTCCGCCACGAGACAGCTGTAGTTACCTGTGCGACAATTACATCACTTATAATACCACACTTAATTGATTGTTTTAACACTTAATATCTAATTCTTTGTTAAAATATTCCACATTATTTGTTTGATAAGATACTTGACATCTGATTGTTTAAACGTTAGACATAATGATGTATAAAAATATGAATTAAGAAATATTTAATATTTTTTCCCAAATATCAACAAAAAGCAGGCTAGGCTAGGAGGGGTTTGGTAGGATAGGTTAGGATAGGCTACGTTAGGCTAAGGTTATTTTTCCCGTTGCAATCATTACCAACTTTGTTACGTGCTGTAAGACCTTCGTTGCTAAAGCGCAGTAATTATAGTATGACAATAAAACAAACGAACAAAGAGTTTTATATCTTATAATTTTTTATATGGTGTTAAAATGGGAATAGGTTCTCAGTGGAGTACCGCAGACTCTATCCTTGGACTCACTTTGTTTGTGATCGACATAAATAGACCAGGAACTTTAGGCTAAAGTTGGAGGTAAAATGATAATAATTGGATAAAAGCTGAAAATTGGTACAAATGTAGAGTCATATATGTAGAACAATAAACAGAAGTTCCTACGACACCTAGCGCCGACGTTAGCCGCCATATTGGAAAACTTTAAAGCTATATGACTGCTAAAATATTTGTTTTATCGGAAAATAATTTTCAATTAAAGTTATTTTTTACGTTTTTGAAGAAAATTAATTGAAATATAAAAATTAGGGAAACTATTTATTTTTCTAAATAAATTTTCACAGAACTCGTCGCCTCAATGATGAAATATATTTCAGAAAAGGTGTAACAAAAATTCATCTTTCCAAATATGTATGCAACTTTATAGTTTTATTAAAAATTGTAGAAGTTACAATGAATATACCGAAACATATCATAGAGGTAACATAATGAGTGGTAGCTGTCGAGAAGTACTTTGGGCCACAGTTTATGCCCAATCATCTGTAAAACATAGGATATCTGGTCATGTTTACCCCCGTGCACTACCAGCGAACTTTCTTACAAAGTTTGCTCCCCAGAGAAAATAAGGTTGTTTCCTAGGGGACTTCAGTGCCAGGGTTGGCAGATGGTGACTTATGGTAGAGAACCATAGGGAGAATCGAAGTGGGCAATGTAATTCCGAGAGCCAACTGCTCCTAGGCAAGTGTGCTGAACACAATCTCACTATCACCAACACCTTGTTTAGGCAGGCCGACAAGTTCAAGGGTTCTTGGCAACACCTACGACCCAAACATTGGCATCTCATTGACTACATCATTGCCAGAGTGAGAGATCGCCGAGATGTCCTCATCACCCGTGCCTTGCATGGCTCAGACCACTGTGACACAGATCATTGGCTCGACCGATCCGAACTCTCCCTTCACGTGGCCACAAAATGGAGAAGGCAACGAACCTCCAGAAGAGACTTTAACACCAAGCGTCTGGGGGATCCAGTTACCACTGATGCTTTCAGAGAGCAGTTCTAGGATGGGCTGATACACAACCCAACAACAAGCAAACGAAATCCGATTGCCGATTGGGGTATCCTCCATACATACATACATACGATCATCCAGTTATGATTCAATGATAAGAGTTATTAAGATGTAGCCTAAGTTGGTGAGTTCTGAGGTGACTAAAGAGGACGATATGGGACCGACAGGGTCGATCACAGATGTTGCACGTGTGGGAGGCTACATCAAGTGCAGGACGGGTGGCGGCAGACGTCTTTTCGGCGATGGCGCTATTCTGCCTCGTTATGCAGTCTGGCTAACTCGAAAGTATTGACACATTCTTGTGTGGTGATCCTCCAAGCGTTACGGCGTGGAGTAATCTTCTCCCAGGTGAGGGGGTCGATTTTGCACTTTTTCAGGTTTGTCTTGAGACTATCCTTAAACCTTTTCAGTTGCCAGCCAGCGTTACGTTTACTATTCATTAGGTGAGTGTAAAGTAGCTGCTTTGGCAGTCTAATGTCGTCCATAAGGGTAACATGGCCAGTCCAACGTAGTTGTTCCTGGATAATGATAGTGTAAACGCCTTGGTTAAGGACGTTCAGGTGGCGGGCAAGTCGAAGGGGATGATTGAAACCCGCCTTTGGACGGATTAAATATTTATTGATGTGGTCAAAACCTTCATCGTCTTTAATTATGGAATTACCGTCGGATGAGCGGAAGGGTGGCTGCGCCATGAGTTATTGGCCCATAAAATGCTTTAGCGGAATTGAATAATTCGCGCAATTTGTGCTGATCTGCAAATTTTTGTGTTTCACATGCTTTATTTTTAAACCAGTCGTTCTTTAGATTGTGAAGTTCCCGCTAGGCCACCACTTTCATCTTGCGAAAAGTATCAGCTTTGGTCCGAGACTGAGGGTTGTTCTGCTAGTCAATTAAAGCAGCACGTTTTTCATCGACGAGTACATTTTCATCAAACCCGTCCTGGTGTATTCTTACGATCCGGCCAAGGGTCTCTCTGCAGGGTTTTTTATCAGGAAAGTGACGAGAATATCCCATTCGGCACTGGGATTTGGGTTGTTTATTGTCGAGTTGTTTATCAGCCCAGATACTTAGTGTTAAAACCTCTTCTGGAGACTTGCTGCCTTCGCCGTTTTGGGGCGACCTGAAGTGAGATCTTGGTTCTGACGAGCCGATGATCAGTGTCGCAGTGGTCTAAGCCACACATGGCACGGGTGATGAGGATATCTTGGCGATCTCTTTCTTTGACAGTGATGTAGTCAATGAGTTGCCAGTGTCTGGATAGTGGGTGTTGCTAAGAACCCTTGAACTTGTCGGCCTGCCTAAACAAGATATTGGTGATAGCGAGGTTGTGTGCAGCATACTTGCTGAGGACGAGTACGTCATTGGGATTACAATTGCCTAGTCCATGGTTCCCTGTCAAATGTCAGAATCTCCGCCAATTCTGGCATTGAAGTCACCAAGGACCACAACCTTATCTTCTATGGGGATAAAGGTTAGTACTCTGTCGAGGTCGGCGTAAAAGGTCTCCTTGATCTCATCATCTCCATCCAGTGTTGGGGCGTATGCACTGATGTAAAAGGCATGACATGAGTGATTCAGTTAGACTTGGAGCGTCATAAGGCGCTTATTGATCCCAACAGGCATTTCCGTTAGCCTGTGTAAGATTCGATGGCGAATGGCAAAGCTAACTCCATAAATGAGGTGTCTCTCCGCAAAGGGGTTTCCCTTCCAGAAGAAGATACAGCCAGACCCCGTTCTGTAAGTTGACCCTTGTCTGGGAGCTGGGTCTCACTAATAGCTGCTATGTTGATGTTATACCTAACCAACCAGCTTTTTAGCCACAAGGGCAGTTCTTTTTCGGGACGCTCATTTATCCCAGTATCCAGAAGGGTCCTAACATTCCATGCAGCGACCCTAAGAGGTTGTACAGGCTATGCTTAGGGCACGTTTTCTAGCCCCTTCCCCATGTGGGGTGAGCAGAGTGGCTCCTCGAAAGGGATGTTCAGTCGCACAGACAGGACCGGATTGCACTGCTGTGTAGATCCCAGTGCATAAACGACCATCTTATCTATGTCGCCCATGTGCAGAGTTGTGACTAGAGACTCCTGATAGTCATCTCTGCCTGTCTCCATCACCACTTGTCCATCGGCATAGGACTTTTTTGGGGGTATAGGGGTTTTGATGATGATGAGAGGTATGATGAGCAGGATGATGGCTGCACACGAGTTGATTTATGTGGTGAGGTAGAAGCGCAAGCTGCAACCACACATCTTGGCTCTCCTTTTTCCTGATCCAGTGGTGCAAGTGTTGCAATGACTGGGGAGAGGGAGATTTGTAGTGGGCTGCCAGAAATCCAATTTGTTGGGCTTCGCCTTAGTAGCCTGTGCATCAGGCATTGCGTTCATCCGCCGGTGTAGTCGTTGGGTTTCATGGTGGTCACCTCTTCCGTCTACACCACCATTGGGGTTTTGCTGGAGCTCTGTAAGCATGTCTGCCTGATGCAGGGCTTAACTGCAGATTTTTCGTTTGGGATTTACTCCCTTAGCCTTATACTTACCAAGGTTAAACTGCAAGGCAGCTGACAATGGCTGGTAGGCACCAGAACGTGTCCACATGCCAGTGGGCCTATGGGCCGTCTCTCTGGGGCTCACTGACATTCCGAGATCTCCTGCTGGCCTAGCCTGAGCCCACGAGGCTCCCAGTTACCGTATGTTGCCACGAGGAGGCACAGCAGGAGTCTTGGTGGTGAAGAGGCTGTGTACTGGCAGGGGAAAACGTATGCAAATTGCTTCCCTGTTCGCCACGAGGGCTAGCCAGCTGCGGCTGAAAGCGAAAAGAACAAGCAGTACTTGCACCTTAACATTAAAATAATGCTGCCACACTAGACGCATTTCACCACATACATCTTGTGTAACGTTGGTGGCAGGCCCAAAGGCCTCGTAGGCATGAATTTGTTTTAAGGTGTAGAAGTTGACGCCAACACAACAACCACACCCTGATTTAATGAGTTCATGACCCAGTGTCGAGGAATAGCCCGAGAAGACAGGACAACTCTCCAATTGCACCGGCTAACCATTACCCCCGGAACACGATCCGCAAATCGATTAACATCCAGATCCCAAATTACTGCTGGGTAGATAGAGGCAAATGTCTTAAAGAAACTTGTTCAAAGTTTCACCCTGCCCTGGGATTGCATCCGGGTCCGGTCGTTTGCGAGGCGAGCTTGCTGACCATTACACCACAGGTCGTCATACATACATACATACATTATTACGACCCTAGGGTAGATCGTTACATAAACACAAATCACTGAAGTCTTTCAAATATATCAGTATTATATATTATATTATTAATCCCAAGTTTCCCCAACAAAGGTCAAGTTAACAGGTCAAAACCTAAACAAGTCAATAAATATATGAACATTTACTAACTTATTCCCACCACGACATATGTTCACAAATTAAAATAAATAACAATAATAACAAGATCTTTGGAAGTGGCTGAGTAAGGACTTAAGGTCCAACAAGATC